TTTTACTTCCCTGTCAAAACATGTATGTGTGCGTGAAATTTTATTATGGGTCAATAATCATAGTTAATGCTATTGACATTGGACCATGGAAAAAGTACCCCATTTCATATCCTTGGCCATCCAATACAAATATATGAATGGGTTTGATTTTTGTACTTTCCAAACCAAGTTGAACATCTTTACAATGCTAGAAAATTACCTAATGCGAGTCTTTAGGGACTTATGTATGAGTTTGATACATTCTTCCCCAGCCAAATAATGAGTAGTTGTATGCAGTATACATTACATCTGAAACTTACTGCTATAAATATTCAACTGAAGTTCCTAATTTATTCGTAAGAAACATGTAAGGCTATTCTTTACATCTTCTTTTTCTAATGCTGACTCTCGTAATGCTTTTTTGCAGGTTGTCACTCCAATAGCACCACTTAGCCAGCAGGTACTCTCTCTCTCTCTCTCTCGGGGTTCTGCTTCTGGGTTCAGTTATGTTCTGTTATATGCTCTGGGCATGTTTTTTGTTGATTGATCTAGGGGACTAGGGTTGTGTGGGGAGGGTAGGGAAGGGTAAGGGGGCTAGGGGAGTGGAGGAAGCAATTGTAATTGGGCTATTAAATTACTAGCCTGGAGTAGTGTTAGCATATACTCTGTATTTATTCATTTTGGCATCCTCTAGAATTTTAGATTGGTGTATCAATAAGATTAATGTGTTTTTTTCTTCTTCTTCTGAATCTTGTCCCTCTGCTTTCTCGAGTTGGTTGGAATGTCCTGTGTGTTATGTACAGGAGTTCAGGCAACTATAAAATTCAGACTTATAGTACTGAACACCATTGAAATTGGATCACATTTCAAATAACATTTATTTATGTAGTGGTTTAAGAGTTAGACTTGGAAAGCCATAGTAGCACTGCCAACTGACAACAAGATATCTTTTGGTAGTGCTACTAAAATCAAATACCTGATATTAGGTAGTTGTTATTAAAGAAAATTTATTATGTAGGGTTCCAAAATATGATATTTGATATATATCCCTACAAATTTTCCTTTTATAATTGAGAGAAATCAGGCGAACGAATTAAAGTAACATCTTCGTTTGTTGGTTAAATGATGCTTCATTTGAGTCTCTCTTTTAGCTGGATTTGAATGTGTAAGGCTTCGATTAGTGTAAAGTTTGGCGTTAGTCTTAAGAGTTTTTGTTGGGAGCTTGAATTAGAATCTCTCCATAACAATTTCAGCCTTGGCAAGGCCTGTCCTATTCCAATTAAGCTATTTCCGACGAAGTACCGTGGGATGACAGGATGATTGAGATCTCTGTATTGATTGGGGAAGGCAAGACCTGCTGTCCTGAGCTCAGCATACCTGGCTCTCCTTTTATGCCTCCTGCGGGTAAATTTTTTTTTCGTTAGCTTAATTCTGGTAAAAAATTGTTGGAAGATGGACATATATAGAAAATATACATGCTTTAGGCTTCTCTATGATGGATTCCTGAGTGGCAAATCTTGTCGAAGTTATGTTCTGTCTGTTTCTTTGTCAGCACTTTCAGTTATAGGGGTGAGTGTGTGTTTGCCTCTTCATATAGGTGCAAATTTGAGTGTGATCAATATATCATGAGTAACTGCTCAGTTTGAACATAATTGGATGGTGGTTTATCCAGTTAATTTATCAAGGTCTTAATTCTAGCGGTTTCTGTGTGCTTACTAAAGTTTCCTTATTGCAGGCTGGTTACTTTTGTTCGGTTTGTGAATGTGTGGTAAAGGATTCTGCAAATTACTTGGACCACATCAATGGCAAAAAACGTAAGCTTTACTAGGGGATCTGCTGATCTCTCTCTCTCTCTCTCTCTCTCTCTCTCTCTCTCTCTCTCTCTCTCTCTAGTGTGTGTGTGTGTGTGTGCGCGCGCTCTCCAGCTGCTTCTTTTATTGCCTTTTTGTTTACTTTCACATGGGACTTTGATTCACCCTCATCATGAATTTGCTTATGTCAGATCAAAGGGCTTTGGGTATGTCTATGCGATCAGAGCGAGCAACTCTGGATCAGGTAAGCTTTGATACTAATTGCTCTGTTTTGTAATTTGAGTGTACAATATCTTGGATTTGGAAGAATCTTATATATTGTGAAATAGTGATACTTGTGATGACTGAATTATCATGGAAGAGTATAAAAAGAGTTGTTGGGGCATTGTGGTCAGGAAATACTTGAACTTGTGCTTTTTTATTTTTTTATTTTGGAAAATTATACTGTATATTTTTTGGTATTTTTCTCATAAAGTTCTAAAAATTTATACCGCTTCCTATGGTGACCCTGAACTTGCAAAACATCGTTAAAGTTTACAGATTTGCTTACATCGTTAATTTTTTTTCAATTTAATCTTTAAAAGTAATAAAACCCTATTTCCCTTCTCCCTCTCAGTATGCTTCATTGTTTCTTTCCTCCTGTCCAGTTGGAACAGTCTGACACCCTCCTTTTTCCCATTCATTCCACCCCATTCCACTGCTACTGCCTTCTTTATTCTTATGTGGATGTTGAAGGTAGTGTCTGTGCGACTTCCTTCAGTGCTTGCTTATCACCTCCTAATCCATACTACTCTGCCCCATATAATTTCAATCGTTACCTGTCAGACAACTGCCAATAGTTGCCTATGGTCATTGTTCTGGACTTCTGGTTATATAGGTTAAGGTTCCCATCCTATCAAATGCTATTTGGTCATCTTTGGCTAGTCATCAGTGACACATCTCACATTCTTATGTTGATGTGTGTAGCAGACCCGATATTGAATATGCTGACATTTAATGGAGTGGTAGAGTGCAATTTAGATCCTACACAATTTAGGAGAGGGGAGGGGAGATTGTTTGAGGAAATTGTGTTTGGAAGATATATCTTGTAAATCTAAATAATGTGTTTGGAAAGGGAAGTTTATGAAGTGGGATCCTAACTGTGTATGTTGCAATGGTGCAAAGTAGAATTGCCTGTTCTTTAGCTTTTCCCTCACTTACCTACTCAAGTAAAGGCACCGAAATTTATTTTTGAGACACTCCGTGTTGGACTTGCTGCTTGTAATTGCTGTGTTGGATTGATGGCATATTACCTTATAAATTTCAGGTACGACAACGGTTTGAGGTTCTTAAAAAGCGAAAAACGCCTGGCAGTTTTTCAGAGCAAGGTGAGAATACATTGCTATTTTTGTGTGATTGGCAATGTTCTTGTACTGGTAGTTATATTAACTGGTAGCCTATCATGTAGCCTATCATGTAAGAGGTAGTTACTGTTATTGGATCCTGACGTAAGTGGTGCCTTTTTCACTCAGATCTTGACGAAAGAATTTTAAAGCAGCAACAAGAGGAGGAGGAGATAAAACGTCAGCGTCGGGAGAGAAAGAAAGAAAAGAAGGTTTGTACAATGAAATTAATTTATGTGATTTTCTCTCTTTTATCCCTCTTCATGGACTTTTTGTTGTTACAACTCTGAATTCATTAACGGTTGCTTTCTTGTACCAGAAAGAGAAGGCTGTTGTGGAGGAGCCTGAGATAGATACTGAAGTGGCTGCTATGATGGGATTTGGTGGTTTCGGTTCTTCCAAAAAATGAGAAGGTTGAATGAGCCCTTTCTCTGTATTTTCTCTGTAGCGTTGCTTAGGGATTGACAACCGCTAACTTCTGTTGCTGTTAGTTTAGTCATTGTATGTTATGTATCTGATAAAATCTTCTTGAAAAAGTTGCAGCAAATTGTCCATTGTTTCATACAAGGAGTAGTAAGATCAGTGGACTTTTAAGGAAATTTTTATTCTATGGCTGACATTGATAGTATTTTTCCCCTCAAAAAAAGTATATAATGAAAAAGACATCATCTTAGAATGTTCTTTTTTATCTAAATTGTTTTGCTTTACTAAAGAGTATTGGATCAATTTTTTTTTTTGTTGATAGTTAATTAAACTTCTGAAGTTTTGGAAGTGCTCCGTATTAAAATTGAATTGAACTTATTGAACTTTTTAAAATTTTGTAATGAACAAATTATAATCAACCGTTATAGAAGGAATATTTTGTACGTCGTATATATCAAGTTGACAAATTGCCTTATATGCCACTCTTATACAATCTTGTTGTATGCACCTTATGAATGTTCATTCTGAAAATGAATATTGATTATTTAACACTTTTCATAAGATCCACTTAATTTTTGGAGCATTACAGAATAAGATATACTTATATACATACATAAAGGAAAGTGTGTAACTCATACAATATAAACGTTGTTCCATCGAAACTTAGTTAGGCTACCCAAATGAGCTAAAAATATATTCTTCCTAATTGACCTATTAACAATTTTAAATACTCCCTCTAGTATCCGTTTTTCCAAGTCTAGCCCACTTTTCATTTTCAATCCGTTTTTTCGAATTTCTACTAACTTATACTATTCTTTTTACAATTTTTTTTATTCATTTTTTATCATCACAACATCACTTTGTTTTTGTTTTTTTTTTTTTTTTTTTTTTTTAAATTTCATTAATTTGCATAAGACATTAACTGAGTAAGACATTAACAAAGGTACATTATTACTTCATAACTAGGTTAGTTCCCGTGCCGTGCACGGTAATTTCAATAACCATTATCAAGCCATCATTATAATTGGTTTTTATAAACAATAAAATCTAAGAATATACTCCGTAGTTGATAAATTTTGATAAAATACTAAATTACAAAAGATATATTAGGTATAAAATGATGTTGATATAATCAAAATTATATTAAGAAAGCTTTTTTAATAGCTTTACAAAAATTTGTTGAATATATGTCAAATATTTTTATTTTTACTAATTATATTGTATGACATTAGGGAATTTTTTTTTGTATAAATTTTGTTTCTTTAATAATTTTTTTATTACAAAAAAAGGACACATCAGGTGATGACATGTGTCACGTTGGTGTGTCTTTTTGTATATAGTTATTGACTGTTGCCGATTACCTTTTAAACAGTAAAAAGTAGTTAGGCTTACTTTGGTTGGCGCCAAAAAAATAACTTCTAAAATATTTCTCATCTAAACTCAGTCATTTCATCAAACACATAGTGAGCACTACGACATACACACAAAAATGAGCAGAGAAGTGGAGCGCCGGATCCTCCGTCATCTCCATGACCGGAGAACCCAAACCCGTCTTCTCGAAATCCACGCCCATTTCCTCCGCCACCAGCTCCACCAATCAAATCAAGTTCTCTCTCATTTCGTCGCCGTTTGTCGGGCCAATGGCAAAATGCGGCACGCTGAGCTTGTATTTCAGCAAACCCAGTTCCCTGATCTTCTCCTTTTCAATTCTATGATAAAGGGTTACTCTGTTTCTGGGCCATTTGAGAAGTCTTTATCTCTTTTTTCTCTAATGAAAAATAATGGGGTTTTGCCCAATGAATATACGTTTGCGCCTTTGATTAAGTCTTGTTGTAATATCCGTGATTCAAGGGGTGGGAAATTTGTTCATGGTGAGATTATGAAACTTGGGTTTGAGCGGCGTAATGCTGTGAGGATTGGGATTGTTGAGTTTTATGCGAATTGTGAGAAGATGGAGGATGCAAAGAAGGTGTTCGATGAAATGCCGCAAAGGGATGTGATCATTTGGAATTTGATGATTCGTGGGTTTTGTATGGTGGGGGATATTGATATGGGGTTGTTGTTGTTTAGGCAGATGAGAGAACGGAGCATTGTGTCGTGGAATTCGATGATATCTTCGTTGGCGAAGAGTGGGAGGGATAAGGAGGCCTTGGGGGTGTTCAGGGATATGGAAATTGACGGTTGTTTTGAGCCAGATGAGGCTACTGTGGTTTCTGTTCTACCTGTATGTGGCCGTTTGGGTGCTTTTGATGTTGGGAATAGGTTGCACTCATATGCTAAATCGAGTGGACTCTTTCGAGATTTCATCACAGTGGGTAACTCGATAGTGAGTTTCTATTGCAAATGTGGAGACTTAGAAACAGCTCATCAGGTCTTCTGTGAAATGCCTCGGAAAAATGTGATATCCTGGAACACCCTAATCTCAGGTCTTGCTTTTAATGGGAAAGGCGAGCTTGGTGTTGATTTGTTTGAAAAAATGCTTAGTAAAGGGATAAAGCCTAACGATTCTAGTTATGTAGGGGCTTTAACCTGTTGTGTCCATGCAGGATTGTTACAGAAAGGCCGGCACTTGTTCTCGTTGATGACAGTCAAGCACAAAATTCTGCCAAAGCTTGAGCATTATGGATGTATGGTAGACCTACTTGGTCGAAGTGGATGTTTGTCGGAGGCATATGACTTGGTTAAAAACATGCCGATGAGGCCAAATGCTGTGTTGTGGGGTGCCCTGCTCAGCGCTTCACGAAATCATGGTGATGTTCAACTTGCAGAACAGGCTCTTAAAGAGCTTATAATTCTTGAGCCATGGAATTCTGGTAATTATGTATTGTTATCCAATATCTACGCAGAAGAAGGGAAATGGGATGAAGTTGATAAATTAAGAGTATTAATGAAAGATAGTAGTGTCAGAAAGTCCATTGGGCTCAGCTTGGTTGGATAATGGTTAAAACTTTATACTCCGTAGCTCCTTTAGTTGTGTACTTGTGGAGCCTCAGCAGCAGCAAGCATGCGAGGAACTATGTTGACTAGAGCCTGAGAAGTGGCCTGGAGTGAACATGTTGTATTGTTGTAAGGATATTTATTGGAATGGTCAATAAAATTTGTGCGGCTAATAGGCTTATCACCTCAGGGGACAGGGGACCAATGATTGATTCAGGGGACAGGCTAATAGGCTTATCACTTCTACTGGGCATGGACACTTTGACTCTTCAATTTAGAGAATGTAACAAAGGAAGTTTCCTTGTCCCCTTGTTCATATTTTAGCTTTGGACACTCATAAATATGTTCTATATATTGAAGTTAAGAAATTTTCAGAACATACTCTTGGATGCACGCTTGAGTCTTGACACTCATATCCTTTTCCAAGCATCATAGGTTATAAGTAAATGAAGACCATTTTTGCCTTAAAAACAGCTGGACAGCTGGGGGAAGATAAGAACTGATGGCATTTTATGATCCCAATATGATAAATAACAAGGCTTTACGGGAAAACTTGCACATTTGTGATAAGTAAGATTTTACAAAATATGATTTCATAGAATGAGTCATCTTTTTGCTGTGCATAGGAAGTCATGGCTTTGCTCTTTCAATCTTTTGGAGTTTCTTCAAACATGTTTTGTGGGGTTTGAAGCAACTAGGGAGCAGAGTTGCTGCATAGTACCCTTTTTTTTGGTGATTCTATTGTGTATTCATTAAAAAGGAATTACACTATCTATTTTCCAGGAGCCACATTTTCATGCTTTGTGAGCTAAGACATCTACTGCTTCAGGTGCTTTATTAGTATAAAGATTTAGGATCGTTTCAAAGGTCTTTTGTTTGGTGTTAACTTGGTAAATATTTATCATGAATCAAATTAATCATTGCTCAGCTACATGTTGCTTATCGTCTGTTATAGATACTTTTTCTTAGAAGCATTTGGGGTTGATAAGTCAATTTACACAATTCTCTTATTAGTAGTTATTACTGTAACTAATATAGTACATTATAAGCTGGACATTGGAGTGTATACATTGGCGCTTCTCTTCTGTGGGTTTTATATACGTATATACTAATTTTTCATAAAGTTTTTATTAAATCATAAACTGGCAATAGGGCTTGATGTTTAGTGCATACATATCTGGCAATATTGGTGCTATGCTGCTTCTCTCATTCAGTGTTCTGTTGGTTTTATATACCTGTTTACATAATTCTCCTTGTGATGTTATATCATAAGCAGGAGGTATGGCTTACTGTCAAGTGTGTACATATATACTGATGCCTCTTTCATTTAATTAGTTCCAAATAAATAGAAGCAAATCTATTTCGTTGCTTCAGTATAATATTTTCTAATAAAAATTTGGCTTCCTGTCAAATAGGACCTCACAGAACTCTGATCATGAGGATTAGTGTTGAAGAAAGGAAAATCAAGGTGAACAAGTTGTTTGGTGAGGGAGATAGATTCGCACCGCTCCAATCATCCTGCATATATTTCTGCATGTATTCTTCCACATTGAAGTTTCCTGCACAGTATGTTACAATACACGACAAGTTATTTAAAGTGCAATGAAAACAGAAAATATTGGGTTTGTGCTTTTTTGTTCTCATTTTTTGCAGATATTTTTATTGTGTAGGCTGATGTTGGCAAATTGTCATTTGGACAATATTACTTATCCTGTGAGGATTAGTGAGCTTAGTACCTCTTTCATGGGTGTGGCCGCAAGCTGCTTGAAGTGTTGCTCTTACATCATTAATTGTGGCCTTGTTGTAGAACACAAATTTGGACAGCGAATGATCAACACAGTCAAGGACAAGGTGTGTTTCTGCCAAACACGGACCATAGCAGAACTGTTCTGTTGCAGCAGAAGGTATGTTGAGGTATCCACTTTGGGTTAGTCTGTATGCTTCCGAGCACCTACTATAGATCTGCACTGACATTTTATCAGTGAGAATATACAAGTAATTTTGTAAAATATACAAGATGATTTTAGATGTATGTAAATAAGTTTTCCAGCAACACTAATTTTATTTTATTTTTAAAAAACTTTGCTGTACTGAAGAACTTACAACTTTACTATGCACATGGAGAAAATACTTTTCAGATATTCAGAAAATTATAATGAATTAAGGTATGAGGCTGTGGTGTTCTCTTTCAAAAGTGTAGGCAACAAAGCGTAATCAACTAAAATTCTGATGGAAAAAGGTGGAATTGTTTAAAGTAATCTGAAGAAAATTTGCCTAAATTATTGAAATGCTTGAGCTCTGTTACTCTACAACATGAGGTTCATCTTATGTGCAAGTACAATTATGCAAGATATGAGGGAGCTTAATTACATTGTCGGCATTGAAACAAGACAGTGCTTTTATAAGAAATTGTCCTGGATCCTGTGCATAGCCTGTACAGAAGGAATAATCATAAGTTATAAAGATGAAGCTGAAAGCACATGAAACAGGAAATTATGCAGTTCAATCACTTTGGAGATGTGTTCTCAACTAAGCTTACCTGATCTGAAACAGATTACAGAAGTGACAATCAGAACAGCATAAACAACTGCATGTCTTGCCATTATAGAACGTTTAAAGGGATCGAACGTAGCACACAAGAGCAAAGGAACCTCTTCGGAAAGTTTTGGCTAAGAGAGGGAGATTAACAATCAACTGTCTTAGTGGGAGCTGTAACGTATAAACATTCACAATATATAGTGAAGACGAGACGTGAAGTGAAGCATCTGAGTTCTTTTTTGGCTTTTCGTTTGGTCAATATCCTATCGGATTATAGTATTACTTGTATCATTCATCTCTAATTTTCTTGCAGTCTTGTTTTTTTGGTAGGAATATGAAATCAATATATGTGCTCAATTTTCTGAACTGATATTGGTTATTGTACGAGAATATACACTTATATTGATGCTTTATACCATTATTAGTGTTACTTTTATATGATGTTGCAAGTAATCTTATCTTTTATACTCTGTTGTGGTTGAGAACATGTAGACTAAAGAGAGAGATGGCAGTTAGAATAATCCACCAACTTAAGTTTAAACCTACCATCTTTTATACTTTGTATTATGCTGGTCATATATACAAGTAATATACACACACCTCCGTTCCACTTAGATTGTCCCTGTTTCCTTTTCAAGTTGTTTGACAAGAGAAATTATGAAAAGAATGGAAATAGTAAACCTACCATCTTTTATACTTTGTATTATGCTGGTCATATATACAAGTAATATACGCACACCTCCGTTCCACTTAGATTGTCCCTGTTTCCTTTTCAAGTTGTTTGACAAGAGAAATAATGAAAAGAATGGAAATAGTAAGGTGTCACACACTCCACACCACTTCTCAAAGTGAACAAAAACGAATTTAGAAAATAAAACATGGAGATGCGGGGTATCGATCCCCGTACCTCTCGCATGCTAAGCGAGCGCTCTACCATCTGAGCTACATCCCCAAATTTTGTAGTTAACTGTTCTTTTAATACCTATATATATTTTGAATTACACACTGGGTTAATTTTTTATTTTTTTTTTACCATAGAGTTAATTTATTGCGTTAATTTTTTGGATTAGTTGTTTGAAGATACCATACCATTGGGCAACAAAGAGTTTCAGTTGTATTCTAAGAGCAAAAGCCTTGATAGAATATTCACTGTTTCAAATTTGTGCATTAGCAAAACAGGGAGTTTCATTGAAAAAAGACTTGAGAGACAATTATGGGGTTATTGTAACAGTTGGTGCTGGATTTTTAGCAAATTCAAGACTATTTGTTCTTCATGCGTTTTTAAGTAGAAGGACAAAGATGACTAAACTAGAAACAGCTTGTAGGAACATTTGTATTCCATGTCCAATAGATCCACGAGGGTAGTAGCCGGTAACATGAACTGACAAACCACCCCTTTATGTGTGAGTTTGGTGCACAAACTATATGGCAGGCTTATCCTTCATACGCAGAAGCTTTAACATTCAACAGAACCATGCTGTATAAGTGACTTGTAGATGCAGTTGAGCTGCTACTTGTTACAGGATACATAACCAGAGAAGGGTAGAACCCGAGAGGCAGAGACTAAGCATAAACCAAAATATCTTAACATCAGAGGCCGAATACAAATTCTTGTAAAAATTCTCAGCTAGAGCCTTATCTGAATCACTAACAGCATAATCAGACTATCTGAGTGCACTGGCAAATAAAGTTGTATATGTATCAGTTCAAAGTCTTTGATTCTCATAGTGCCAACAAGTTCAAAGTCTTGCTGACATACTTGGGGAAGAAAAATATTGTATTCATCTAGAGGACACCCAATTTCTGTAGCAATTCAGTGGCACCGCTCAACAAACCATATTTACAAAGTCCTTTGATTTTTACTGCGAAATGCATCTGGCTGCAAGCACTTAACTGTGAGAGATGAGTAGGAAACCAAAGCTTCACACAAGCCATCAATTACGAAGTATATCTAATGGAATGTCTGGAGTGTTGATCCTTGATCTTTAACTTCAGTAGCACCAGAGAGTGCAAGTTAAGCATTAATAAGATCAACCTTTTGTATACGCATTCAAAGCAAACAATCCATAAATTATTCATTAAGAGTCAACAACCAAACTTCATACATCATGAAAAAAACAATTGAGTAAAAACTAAGTAGATCATTGTGTGGATTTGTGTGCAACAAGTGTAATTACATAAAATGGTTAAATTGATTCCTTTGCAATGTAAGCACGATTGGTGTCATCAATCTTCAATGTCATGTTCTTGTATTTGTGCCATGGCTTAGATATAGCTATACTTGAGCTGTAGTACTGCTAATATTCAAAGGCAGTTATCAGGTAGTAAGAAAACATATGCAAGTGCAACTCACTAATTTACAACATTCCCTCATGATGTTACACATCTCTGTCACAGCTGATCATATATAATTTATTCATTGCTACTTCCACCTTTGATCCTAACTATTACTCACTCAGTTCTCCAAAAACTTTTTTAGCAAATCTTTGTCTGCATCATCGATATTTGGATCAGCGAGTAAGCCCACAAATGATGATATTGTGTGATTATCAGCAACAAACTCTTTGATTCTCATCAACCTGACAAGTTCTAATGCTCTCCTAATGTCCTTTCCATCAATAAATCCTCTAATAATTGTATTAAAAGTGCATTCATCTGGAAAGCATCCATTGTCCTCCATATTCTTCAGTAATTCATCGGCTTTTGCTAGCAACCCTTCTTTACAAAACCCTTTTATCATTATGTTGTAAGCACGCACATTATGCAGTCCTTTAGCTGTGAGAAAGGAGAAGATGTCCACCGCTTCTCTAAGCCGATTAGCTTCACAGAAACCATCCATTAGGATACTGTATGTAATAATATCAGGGACCACTCCAGTATTCCCCATTTGCTTCACTGTTGTAATTGCCTCGTCAATTTGTGCATTCTTAAACATTCCATCAAGCAATGAATTCCAAGTTATTACATTTGGCTTTAGTCCATGAGCTTCCATATCCTTAAAAAACTGGTGTGCAAGCTTGAGCCGATTAACTTTGCACAAGGCATCTACAAGAGTGGTGTATGTGATAACATCAGGGTTTAATCCGTTAGAATGCATCTCTTGGAGCAGACCAAGAGCTTTGTCAATGCTTTAGATTTGCAATAGTCATTGATTAAGCTGTTGTAAGTAACTACATCAGGTTTGCAACCATCTTTTACCATCACATCCATAAGCTTTTCTGCCTCGTCCATCTCACCACGTAAACAATATCCGTCTAACAGAGTGTTGTAAGTGATGATATCTGGAACCAATCCTATCTTAGTCATGAAATAAAAAATGTCTCGTGCTTCACCAATCTTGCCTTCTTTACAATACATATCAATCAACATGCTGTAGGTCTCAGTGGTAGGAGTTATGTTGTTCCCCAACATCTCAGTCAGCATTTGTTGAGCCTCTTTCTGTTGTCTCAAAGTGCACATACCTCGAATTAAGGTATTATAGGTGACAACATCAGGGGTAATTCCCTTGACTTTCATCTCCTTGAATAGGCGGAGAGCCTGAGGTAATAACTGGTCTTTACAGAGACTATCAATGATGGTGCTATAAATAACAACATTAGGCATACAATGGCCATAAGACTCCATATTTCTTAGGAGTTTGAGAGCACCGGCATTATCACCGGACATACAGAGACCTTTGAACATAGAACCATAGGTGACTAATGTGGGTTGGTAGCCAAGCTTGACAACTTTATCCAACAAATGAACAGCTTTGTCCAACTGATGAGTATGAACGAAGCCGTTAATGAGGGTATTAAAGGTGACAATGTGAGGTTGAAAACCAAGTTTAATAATGTTGGCGAGAACAGAGAAGCCGAAATCAACAAAGTTCAAACGACAGTAGCAATTAGCAAGGATGGTAAGGGAGTAATCATTTGGGCGAACACCTAACAAATGGAGGTGTCTGTAAAGAGAAATGACAGTGGAGAAAGGTGGGTGGGGTTTAATTTTACAAATGGATGATAGCAGTAGATTGAAATCAACAATACCAGGAAGTGGGCGAATCAATTTCATGTGATCGAAAAGATGAAGGGGAAATTCAACATGAGTAAACCCTAATTTAGATTGTTGTCTAACAAATTTAAGAAACAGTTTAGGATCATCATAATAATCAACAGCATAACGAGTAGAGTAACCTCGGAAACATGGAAAGTGAGAAAAGGGAAAATGGAAATGGGGAAGAAGAAGAAAAGGAGGAGAGAGATTGAGAAGCTTACAAGTAGAATTGCCATGAAAATGAAAACGAAGAAAAGCTCCAACAAAAATGGCAGATTTGGTCCTCATAATGTCATAAAATGCTTCACTGAGCTCAAATTTAGGTTCTTTTTAATTTAGGTTTATGCTTATTACATTTTAATAATACGTTCTTTTCACTATAGCGGTATTTTTTTACATTTGTATAATAGGTTCTTTCCGCGAAAACATCTGTACAATACAAGATACCCACGCCTGTAGGAACCACACACTAGTGCAATTGTGCAAATAAGATAGTGGAAAAAAATTCCTTAAAAAATAAAAAACTAAATAAAAAAAAACATACGTACCTCCATTTTTCAACAAAGACATTATGTGTAAAAGACAAAAAATATTTTTTTTATTGAGAAAATAATATACAAATTAAAAATGAAGACAAGAAATTATGTTGTTTTTAAAGTATATTCCACCAAATAGCAAATGTAAGTCTCATATTGGTAAAAAAACTTAAAAGTTGAGAGAATTAAACAATTTATATAGCTGAGAGACTGAATTTCCTATTGCCTTATATTTTTAAATGAATTTTTCTTTGGTTTTATAAAATGGACTCTCTCTCTTGGTTTACAGGTTCGGCCCAGATCCATATAAATTTGGTTTAATTTAATTTATGTTGTATAATAATTTTTATCCTTTTTAAAGTTCGCTTTTCATTTATTTATTATTTGGTCAAAAAAAAAAAAAAGGCGCATTTGGTAAACCTCTTTGATACGAGTAATTGTTTCCCACAATTATAGATAAGATTCGACTAAGACATTTTAAAACTCCCTTACTCCAGTAAGTACACTGAGTTGCAAGCCATCTGGTACTCTGGTAGGGATTACAACAAAGCCATGAAGTACTCAACATTGACAACATATGTTGAAATCCTAACAGACAATCTAGAACCCCTACATGCTTTGCGTACACCCCAGACGAGCACATGGGAAATAAGGAGCATGATCAAGAATATCATTCATCTTAGCCTCGATTTACATTACTTTAGTTGTAGTGAAGTTGCTAGAAAGGTAGTAGCTAGAGCTCACAACCTTGCTACTAACTCACTAACGCAAGGAAAGCAACTAAGCTATATCTTTTAATCTTTTATGTTTGTTTCCCATCTGTTAAAAAAAATAAAAAAATAAAAAAATAAAGGGAAATTCTACATGGTGACCTCCAAGTTTTTATTTTTCTACGTGGAAGACACACTTTTTTCCAACTCTCTCAAGTGACATTATGGTTTTGCAAAATTATATATAGTGTCCTTTTTTTGGGTTTATGGCTAACTTTTATAATTAAAATGGTTAACCTTAGGTTTTTTGGTTTAAAAATTAATTAAATTATATTTTAAAATAAAAAAAAAATAAAAAAGAATTTTTTTTTTAAAAAAACACCCCAAACCCACGACCACCCTCCCACCACCACGTCCACCCTCCCACCACCCCAACCCCCATAATCCCTTTTTACCACGCCGGCGCCGGCGGCCCCGTCCCCCATCTCCACTGGCGCCCAGACTCCCCCTCCCCCAGCGCGGCGTCCCCTACCCCTCCTTACCCCACGAATCGGATCACCAACCCCTTTCCATCTCCCACGAAAACCTAGAAAAACCATCCCTCCACCCTCGAAACTCCTTCTCCGTCTCAATCCCAGCGCCCTTACCCTTCTTCCTCCCAATTCCGACCCCCTTACCTTCAACTACTCCGTTTCTTGGGATCTGGGTTGGTGGTGGTTTAGTGGAAACACGGGAGGGGGTTGGGGGTGATTTAATTGCGCTGGAGGAGGGGGAGTCTGGGCGCCAGTGGAGATGGGGGACGGGGCCGCCGGCGCGGTAAAAAGGGATTATGGGCGCCGGTGGTGTATGGGGGTTGGGGTGGTGGGAGGGTGGTCGTGGGTTTGGGGTTAAAAAAAATTCTTTTTTTTTTTTTATTTTTTTTTAATTTTAAAATATAATTTAATTAATTTTTAAACCAAAAAACCTAAGGTTAACCATTTTAATTATAAAAGTTAGCCATAAACCCAAAAAAATGACACTATATATAATTTTGCAAAACCACAGTGTCACTTGAGAGAGTTGGAAAAAAGTGTCTTCCACGTAGAAAAATAAAAACTTGGAGGCCACCATGTAGAATTTCCCAAAAACAAAAAATGGAACATACATATTGTAGGAGTAATTGTTTCACACCATCAAAGATAGGTGCCTATAATTGGCATAAAAATATATTTCAACCGTAATTTTATCTATAATAAAGCTGTCTGCACAATCACAACACTGGTTATGCACACCAATACACAAGAAATTGACATATGTTGTCATATTGCCAAGCAAGCAAGCAGACTATGTAAACATTCATCTAAACTAGACAACACATACACCTCGAATTCAGCTGAGAGAATAGCATCTAAACATGTAACTATGTAAGACAGGAAAAAGCTAGGGAAAAACCTACTCTATAAGGCCACTAGATGTACTGCGAGAGCCACTTGAAGCCCTCCCCATAGCCCATTTTCCTGACAATGCTGCACATGAATACCTCCATAGGCCTGACATTGGAGTCTGCTAGGTTAACCTTCCCCTTACCAGTGGTAAAGTTGGCCAGACCCAGATGATAACGCAACTCATCTTCAGAAGCTGCATAAGGTATGTCAATTTTGTTCCCTAAAATCAAGAAAGGAACATTGGCCAACGCTTCGTCAGATAGTAGAGCATCCAGCTCCTTCTTAGACTCAGCAAACCTCTCCTTGTCAAAAGCATCCACCAAATACACCACAGCATCCACCTTCAATTCCAAAACATGCATTAGTGGGCAAATAGCATGAATTAAACAAGTATGTGGATAAAAGTCATAAAACAGAATAAATCTCAGTAAGTTTGGGAATTGTCTGCAGATATAAATAAGGCGACTCTCAATAAAAGAGGGAAGTCCTACATATTACAAAATAGATCTGCATGACAATTTCTGCCTTCGATGATTCATATAGATGTTTGGGTCTATTTGAAATGATGAAAAAAGGCATTTTATTTGAACTTTGAAAGAGCAAAGATATAAAAGCATAAATGAAGTTGACCACAAAGTGGCTGAAGAAGTTCTGAAAGGATGGGTCTACCCTTTTGAATGGTTATAATGGTACCAGTTTCTCAGTAATCACTAGGTCAATGCTGCATACAACTATCCTACTTGAATATCCCAGAAATGGTGGGAGCACATGAGATATTCTGAGGTAATGGTTTCATAATAGTAAGACTGACTGATGGCAATTGTATTCATTATACTAGGTAGTGAAAAGGTTCCTAATGCCCAAAGAGTTGCTATACACAAGTTAAGACTCAGAAGCAATGTACGGCTACCTGAATGAAGAATATGTTTACAGCATAACATGTACAAGAAAAGAAAATCTATGAAAAGATTACTCAAATGATCAAAATTAGAAGCTCATTAGGCTGAACCAATGTGGCTCAGGACCGGTGCTTAAAAATCACGGGTTGCTTGGCCCAAGAAACAAGTGAGACCTATAATTTGGGATAGGCAATGGGCCAGAAAGTTTGTTGTTTCAAAGAACAGTCTTCTCAATTGAAGGATCAAGCACACAATTTTAGCAATTAAATACTAAGCGATTATGCTACAAATAATAAACGAAATACATGTAGAACTTACATATGAAAATAACCAAAACAAATCCTATTAGAATGATATTGCTTATAACAACACGAAAAATCAGAGAATATTGGAACTGAATGAGTGAATGAGGCATATCCTTCCTTATTATACCTCATCTTATATAATTTAACCAAAAGGAAGATTTGAATTTCATGCCACGAAAACAGTACATTGAGTACAATTGATATAACACAGTTATTTCAATGCAAATTTCAACAAAAGCTATCAATAATAATATTCAGTCAGATAAAAGAAAGATCAAAATCAATTGTCACACAAAATCCCAAAGCTCGTATAATAATTTTGGTAAAAGATAAATCCTCAATTGAATCCAGCACGCAATAGGAACTTCCAGGCCAGGAATATCCAGTTGGATGAAAAATTGACATATTGAAACACAGCAATAAAAACACCTGCTTAGATACTAGAGGTGCCATAGAAACCTCAGTGATATAGGCCTCCCATAATCACAAAAAATTAATACTTGGATATGAGAATATCAAGTGGCTCAAATGGTTTTTCACTTATCACTCAATCAGCTAGAATGCAACACAGAAAAACTTCACCTGCAACATGCCTTCCCTTTGATAAGAAACAAAACTTACGATTACACATCAGAAGCTTCCAAGTCCTCACTAAAAGATCAACTAGCTCTGGACAGGAGGACAGGCAGCAATTTAGCTACTTGGAAACAGACACTAACAAAGATAACAAAATTACAGGCCATAAAACAGATGTATCGCCAGGCAGCAATTTAGCTACTTGGAAACAGACACTAACAAAGATAACAAAATTACAGGCCATAAAACAGATGCATCGCTAAACAGACACCACAGGTACTCAGAGAGCTTACATTCAGGACAGACATTCAGCCTCAAAAATTGCTTATGTGTAACACCTGAATAATCCAGTAGATAGCAAAATTACGACGGGAGCAGAATTTGTCTCGAAAGTTACTATTAAAACACCTTGAACACTAAAGGTGCCATCAGCGTCCTCCCAATGACTCTATTGGCCCCCCATGAATCAGATAAACACTGAAACTGTTATCTGGGATTATGAAGGCCTAGTAAGTAGCTTCAATCAAGGAGACTGACAAAAACATCTATATAATCAAACAACTTGCACATAATTTCATTACTAGGCACAATTAGACTGACCAACAAAACACCCCAAAAATTTTCTACACATAACATGATCAATCAGTCACAATATGTAATTATTGAGCAAAATACACAAGAATTTAAATTTACTTTAGCATAGTAGTCTTTCCAAACCCGGCGAGCAATCTGATGCCCTCCCAAATCAAAGGCCTTGAACTTGATTTTACCAATACTCAGTTCTTCAGATGTTGGATACTGAGTTGGTTGATGTTGGACCAATCTCTGCAATCAATTAATCACCAGAAAAACAAAACCCAATTCAATTCACATAATATGCCAACAAAATTGTATAAATCCTATCTTAATATACTCATATAAATCAAAATTAGGGCCAAAAACCCTAATTTAAAATCAGACCAACAAAATTAATAATTCTCGCTCCTAATTCGCAAAATTAAACAGTTACAAACCTCATCTTTCAACATATGAAGCAAGGTGGTTTTTCCAGCATTATCGAGACCTAAGAACAAGATCTTTGCTTCCTTCTGCCATAATCCAAGTGAAGCAAGAACACCGTAAAACCAATCGACCAAAAACATTGTTTTTCGCGATTGAAGTTAGAAAAGCAACAGACAAAAGAATTGAAACGAAGAAACCTCGGGATTTCAGAAGTAGTTGAAGAAATCAAACAAGAATTTGACGTTAATTGGGGGGAGAGAAGATTCTAGACGCGACGAACAAACCCTAGAAGAAAAGAGAGAGAGAATGAGAAAACAAATGTACTGTATTATACTCGTATCTTCTATGTGAGTATGTGCCACACAAGTGACATAATTTCCCTTCATTTTTATTTTTATTTTCTACTTCTATGTTTTTAATTTTTGGGAGTTTAGAGTCAGAGTAAGGGCTTATTCTCATTGAATGAACTGAACTGAGCTGAATATTTCATAAGAGAAGAAAATTAAGAGCTAAACTGAATTTCAACGTATGAAAACAGACCCTAATTTACTGTAAGATGAATTATGTTTCGTGAATGTAACTTGCCTCTTAAAACAAAATGTAAGGGTATTGAGACTATTGAGTTAATGAGAGTGAAGGATAGCTCAAGTGGTAAGAGCTTTCCTCCCGGTTCCAGGAGATCTTAGGATCGATTCTCACAACGACTGACATGGATTTTATTTTTATTTATTTTTTTTTCATCCCATGTGTTTATTTGGGTCTTAAATTAAAAATTTGCACAGTCCAATATAATTCCTACCAGACTGTTTGAAATGATTCCATAACATTTTTGTCCCAACAGTTCAAAAATGTCATAGCAGGTGAGTTATTTCTTTCCTCCTGATGTTTACATTCACCACACCAGCTCCGCTTCAATCTCCATATAGCCTGCTTCTCACACAATGTGCATGGTATCCCCCGTTGCGAACATCCATAACTTAAGCCACAAAGTCGCCTTTTATGGTCATTGTGAACATCCATGACTTTAGCCACAAAATCGCCTGTTATGGTGCAACATGCTGAAGCCGAGGTATTCAACTTTGAAGATGGATAAAAAGCATGTTACAAGGTTCAATGAAAATGACCTTGACATGAGTGAGCTTTTGAAGAAGATAACCACAGATAAGAAAAGAATTGTTACTGCAGAAATTGCAACTGGTGCATTTGATGACTTGATTTAGATGGAAAGAGAAGGTGTGATGATGCTATTCCATGTTAAGGGTTGTGTGGTTCGGATTTCCCTGCTACTGGTACACGAGGACTTTAACCATGTCAAAATAGAAAGTTTAATGCTGTGAGAATTGATACAAGTACATCCACGAAATAAAAGTAAGTATTACAGGAGGCCATAGCCCCATAGTAGATTTAAACACAAGGCAGCGCTCACTCCGCCTACTGTAGCCTGCTGTAGAGAAGACCAGGGTTAAAGTGTAACAGTTGGTACTAAAATATCTATGAAAAATACAGGGGAAAAAAAAAACAGATAATGAATATGCAGAAATATATAATTTAATATTCTCGTGAGAAACACTGCCGCAATTATTTTCCTAGTACATGAAAAAGCCTGAGTCCCTCCTACATTCCGTAGCAATTACTCAACAAAACTGAAATAGCTCTATAGCCTATGCTACCAAGTCTAAAGTTACATACTCTGTAAAAAATATTGAAACATTCACACTTGACGATTCTACAGAATAATAATCTCTCTGTAGTGTGTATAGAAATACTATTGGCTTGTAAATAACACAATTGGTAATTGGTTCAACTAAAGCTGCACTAAGCTGTTGTAATACCTGTATGGCTGTCTGATTTTGGCATGTTTCCATCAACTGCAAAGTTTCAAGTGGCCCCAGGCAGAGCCAAACGAATTCCATCTATTTCAGGCTTTGCTTCGATTTGGCAACCCAAACGAGACCTAGACAAGAAATCATTGAGATCAAGAACCAGGAGAGGCAACTCGAGTAAATGAACAAAGTAGATAAACTCACGTTTCTGTAAGCCCAAAGGCAAGGTCCAACATGTCATTTTCTTCGTCAGTTGGGTCCAGCAGTTTGTTGTAGTAATCCACATCCTGCCATGCAAAGCAAGCAAATGTTTAGACATGGGGACAGATGAGGTAACTATAACTCTAAGGATGATATTGACTGATTTACCATCACGATAAGGTGACATGTAGAACACGCACAGGATCCTTCACATGCTCCTATGAAAAATAAGTTGTTGAGTTACTTGAGTACAAACAAAGTTCGAGGGAACATTTAGCAGAACACAACTTGATTACCAACAACCAAGATAGCCATTATAAAGCAGCACTGGGAAATAAAACAGGTGTTCATAATTTCATGATTGGACAAACCACTGATCTTGCCCAAAGAGAAAAAGGTCCAGAAAGGGGTTTCAGAATGAGTTGAATGATTACCTTCTAGCTCAATGTCATTTGAAAGAGCAGCTTCTAGCATACTTGTGCCAACAGGAACCTTTGCGTGTTTCTGTGTTCCATCCGTTTCAACAAAGGTTACACTTATTCTGTAGTGTTACAAGAACAGTAGACAATAGAGTAAAGGGATGCAGGTGGAGAGGCTGGTAGGTTACATGATAAATTAAACAACAGACTAATCAAGGACAAACCACCTAAATTTGTGCCTGCCTATGCTATTGCTAAGTGCTAACAATGGATTCTTGTGAAACTACATTTTTTGGTTTAACAAAATAATGGTATTCTGATCAATGTTTAGATAGAAATTATATGTGCAGAGAAAACAGCAGGGATGCTTACGTTTGCTCAACTTCATTTTTATCATTGCAAGAGTCAGTAGCAGTATTACAAAGATATCGATGCACCTGCAAAAAAAAAAAAAACAGTAATGCATATGAGAATATGACAGTATAAACAATACTAAAGACTACCCTTATGATTCATCAACTGCCCAAATAGCAGTATCAGCTCATTCTAAGCAAACAGCCAACTAAGAATGTCCTGCATAGGGCTAGGTCATGTCTAAAGCATAATCATCAAGTAATTGCTACCAACAGATAGGTAAATGAAGCTTTCCTGCTTATATTAGATTGCAGTGAATTCAAAAACCTTAATATTAGGGTTACATTAGCAAGAGAAGCCTTTAAACATAAAGCCAACATAACCATGAACCATTGGAAAAATCAGCCTTTGCTATAGGTTAAAGGATAGAGGATCAAAGTATGAGTTCAGTAATACAATAACCACAAAGCCAGTAATGAATACCAGACTAGTGCATATCATTGCGGGTATCTATTTAAATAATCAAATAAATCCAAATTATGATTAAGTGATACCTGGGGAGGAAGCTGAAGCAAAGTCTGTACCCGGGAAGAAGAAACATTTAAATATGGAGCCTTTGGCATGCAAACAAATTTGCCTACCAGAATAAAGAAATTGGAATATAAAGTTAGGAAAAGAAAAAAAAAAACCCTCTGCACCTTTTCATTAAAAAACCATGGTACTTTTACCCAGAAGCAAAAGTTGTCATGAACACGAATTAAAACCTTATGATTGCTTATTGTGAAACCATACAAATAGTTTTATGAGACTTAATACTTTATTCATTGAACCACCAGAGCCCTTTCTTTCTAATTCTAAGTATTCAGCAAAATTACAAAAAAAAAAAAAAATGACTAATAAGAACAATTCATGAAAGCTTAAAAGAATTGCAGTTATTTTGATTTGCAATTACCCACCCTAGCTGTGGGGAAATGCAGAAAGCATCAGCTACCGAGGTATACCATAAGAGACCTCTTTGCCACCTACTAGGGCCACAAGTATAGGATACAATTCTACCAAATCCGTTTCCCTTTGTTTATTTTATCACATTTAATTGACATTTTTGCTGAATGTTTAGAATTGCAACTGTTGAGCATACTTTTATTATTAAGTTGTGCTAGTTTACCCAAAATCAAAGTACAGGTAAAAAAATCACTATGTTCGTATACTCAACTATTCAAAGCCCATCCAATGAATAATTTAGGTTACTCTCAATTTCCCAGCTCTCAGTACCACAGTTCAATCTCATACAAACCTGAGCATCAACTTGCTAAGGTTTTTGTTACGCTAGTATGATTAAGACAGCTATTACCTACAATGTATCAATCTACACGCAATATAGCTGTAGTAATAACTTCTAAAATAATGCTCACAGTCTATACAAGTGACTACTAACTTGTCATAGCAAAATTCTTTACCACGGAAAAAAATAGCCCCCATATCAACCTTCAAGTGAATGCCCCTAAAATTTTTATTACCCTATTAGACCTCCTACCAATGTATGAGAAAGCTCAAGGCGATTCAGAATTTTTCGTGCGCCTTGACTAAGTGAGGCACATATAATAAACAATAAAAAAGATCTGTAAAAAACTGTGATGTGCAGTGTGCCTCTATGAACCTCAGTTGTGCTTAATCAAAATCACTTTGCCTATACCTCAAAAAAGGGAATGACCCCTAACGCCCTGCACCTCAACTGCTCAAACACTGCATCCTACTGAAAATCTTATCTCAAAAGGAATATATCATTTTAGGCTTTTAGCTGAATGATGGAAACATAACTTATCACAATAAGCACATAAAAGCCCCGTATCACATTTTAGAAGTACAGATAATAAATAGTGCAATCTATCTAAACAAACATGAAAGTGATACAAAGAGTTAACAAACACCAAACAACCAACCATTTTAAGTAAGAAAATTTAATAGCAAGGAAATTTGAATATTCAAAAACAAACCTTGGGTTAATCTTTTAACTGCCTGAGCTCCAAGACCAGAAATTCTAGAAATCCACATATCTTAGCGAGTTTAGAGACTATATACTCACAACCTGAAATTCAAACAGAAAATAACTCGTCAAAGATGGAAAATATAAATACTTCAAGGATACAAAAGCAGCAACAATTGGGCAGTTCGCATTGAACAAAATCTAGATTTCAATACAAATAACGGGGTTAATTATGAACAGCATAAACCCAATCCGAATGCTAATTGTTAATAGAGAGATTTAAAATTGAATACACCTAATCCGAATGTTAATTGTTAACAGGATCATCACAAGAAGATGTTTTCAGATAATAATAGGTAACATCATTGCAAAATGGCTGAGTCCTCCATCCTAAACCATTGCTGCCCAAAATCAAAGCATTTACTCTGAACTCAAGCTAGCAATTAGACTAATACATTCGGAATTCCATTTATTAATTATTTTTCAACTGAAAGAAAAACCGCAAATTGACAAAAGCACATAAACCAATCAGAAGCTCGGAACAATCCATTGATTATGTAAAAAAAACTAAAGAATCAAAAATTATGATAAATTAGCGCCTATGATAAAATTATAAATTAGGGTAACATCCATTGCACAAATTGTCAACTACGATCAATAACAATAGAAATCGAATTAAAAAACAAAATTTGAGGAATGAGAGATGAATTGAATTAATGTACCTGAGAAGATGTTGAATGGAGAAACAAAGATTTGATAGTTTCACGAGGTATTTACTGCCGCAGTGTAGTGGTGGGCAGTGGGGCTGGCAGGGTTTGTTGCCGGGGAGAGAGAGTTCGAATGAGCGCACTGAAGCTCAGATAAATGTCTAATGTCTAACTTGTCTGGTTTGGTAAAACTAAAAAAATGCCTCTATAATGGGCAAAACTCTATTGTTCATGGATCGGATGGTGTCAAATTGAGTAGCATGAGTTTTTAACTCTCACACTCTAATCTAATCTAATTTACAAATATAATTAAAGAAATAACCGCTGACATCATCATTTACAAGTGTGAGATGAAATTAAAAATTGAAATGAACTGAATATTTTATATGAGATGAAATCACAAACTGAAATGAACTGAATATTTCATGTGAGATGAAATTAAAAACTAAAATGAACTGAATATTTTATGTGAGAAGGAAATTAAGAACTGAAAATAATATGAAGAGAACATGCCTTAAATATGTATATTTAGTAGTTTTTTTTTAAAAACATGTAACATATAACTTAATATGTACTCCGTAGTTTTAATATCATCCGCAATTACTGTAATAACTCGAGGCATTGCCCGACCCAAAAACTAGTTCAAAATAAAATGACTGAAGATTGTTAAAAAAAAAAATAAAAAAAAAGGAGAGAGAGAAAATGGAATAAAAAAAAACAAATGAGGAAAAAAAAACATTAAAGGATTACGAGTATATTTTAATTTGTTTGGTTCAATTAGGAAATAAGTCACTTAAAGTCTCCTAAATAAGTGGGATTCGGTAATTGTTGCTCAACCCCTCTAACAAGTCATTTAAAAGTTTATATAGTGATTTTCGGGTCAATTAATTATTATTTTTATTTTTTTTTTGCTTATTTTAAAATCTTAAAATGAGCCCAAAAAAAAAAAAAAAAAAAAAAAAAGGTGTACACCATGTATATATGAAAGGTGTAGCATAACATAACAGAATTCTGTTAGAATCTTTGCTAACTTGTCACTTGGCACACGGATTGCTGACTCTAACAAATGTTGTGGTCATAAGTTGATCATGTGTAGCAAGTTCAACATATCCCTCAATAAGTTCAGTTCAGTTTAGTAAATCAGAACAGGCCCTTAGTGTACGTATAATTCAGATTATACAACAAGCCATCATGAAAACTATTAGCTTCGCAAGACCACAATAGGTTTGTGAATAAGTAATTGTCTGATAATGAGCAAGGAACACGTCTCGTTTTGCATGCCAAGAATAACACCTAACATTGTACATCATTGGTAACTAATAATGTATTACTATTAAAAAAAAAAGTAATAATACATTATGTTTTACCCAATTAATCATCTACATATCCTATTGTATCTCTTTGTTATGGGTGATCCTAGTTTTTCTCTATTTGTCCTAAAATATTTTAAGGGATGAGATAAGGAACTCTCTTTTCCTTTTAATAACAAAGCTAGTAACAATTTTAAATTTCAATAACTTTTTATTAAAAAAAATATAATAAATGATAGCTATGTAGTTACAATTGAAATCAAATTCAACAAAAATAATCAGCCATGCCTTATTTTGTTTCTGTAATACCAAGATAACTTGCATTATGCTATAAAAATACTCAAACATCAAACCCCATGAAAAAACACACATTCCCTAAATCTGCAGCATAATTGTTGTTTGATTATAATCTTGTTTATAAGATAAAACTAATCTTGATTACCATTTTTAATTTGTAATCATCCACAAAAGCCTCTAACAAACGGTAACACCGCCATTACGGAAAAATAGGGATACGATTACGGAGTAAAAGAATAGGATAGGAATACGATATACGGAGTAATACCAAAGACTAAGGATATACTCAGATACCAAATTTATTTATAAAAGAATAAGGATACATTCAGTTAAGGTACCACTTATTATAACGTCATTAAAACGGATCAGTATCAATGAATTTCTCTCTATCTCCATTTTTCTCTCTCTTCTCTCTACTTTTACTTATCAGGTAAATATTCAAACTATTTTTTTTTTTTTTTTTTTTTAGTTTGTTTTATTTTCTGAGTCTATTGTGTTGCTTCAAGTTGCTATCAATCTTTCTGCTTTATACAATAATCGTGTTTAGTTGGTATAGTCTCGTGGCTTGTGCCCGTGACTTGTAGTCCAATCTCGTCATCATCAGTGCCTTGTGTGCTTCAGAAACATTTTATTTCTCTTTTAGTGTTAAATCTGTATGTTAATGTTTTTTTTTCCTTTAAATCTGTTAATGTAAGTCCAAGAATTGAGAATTTGATGAGGAAAAAATAGTTTGGGCATCCCTTAATTTTAGGCTTATTAAAATGTTAACCTGTTGTGTTTTAGTACAATTTTTGGTTGTTGTAATTATAGGACTACTTTTTTTTTAACTTAGAAGATAAAGGTGTTGTAATTCACCACTTTAGTTTAAGTAGAAAATTTGATGATTGAGAGCTGCTAAATTTGACAGAAAGTGTATAATTTCTGAAGTGGGATTATCGTTTGTGCATAGTTCTTTTGTGCTAATTTTTTTTAATTGAAGTTGGATGTGTTTGTTGTCAATTGATTCATTAATTACAGTATGTGGGATGTTAATTTGTCCCAACATCTTATAATAGAAATGGGTTCATACAATTTTGGGAAAGGTTTGGGATGGTGTAGATGTGGTTTAAGAGACAATTGTGAAATAAGTATATACTAAAAAATCGGTTTTCTCGGTTATTATCATGTTGCTTAGCTCTAGGATGCTACTAATTTTTGTTAAAGAAGCTTTAATTTAAGGTAAATGATACATTTTGAAAAATGGGGTTTGAGACTTTTAGAGTAGTGGTAAGTCAAGCATGTTAAATTGCATTGAAAGAAGATAGTAAGATGCTGTTAGTTCAAGGGATTATATTGTATTGTTGTTAACATGTGTTGAGCTTAGAAGTGTGGTGAGCTAACATTAATGCTGCGTTAACAGGGTAACATCTAAAGGCTTAAGCCATGCACATCCAAAACATGCTGTGACACCACCAAGGGGATGGAATTCGTATGACTCCTTTTGTTGGACAATATCTGAAGAAGAATTTCAAAAAAATGCAGAACTTGTTGCTAAACGGCTTCGTGCTCATGGATATGAGGTCTGTGTTGTGATAGATTTGATTTTTACAGTATTTGCTCCTCTCATTTATCATTTCTACCATTCTGTAATGACATTTTACCTAGAACTGACAATTTCTTTAATTTCCTAATTTCCTTGCAGTATGTCGTGGTTGATTACCTCTGGTATAGAAAAAAGGTACCTGGAGCTTATACAGATTCTTCAGGATTCGATGTCATCGATGAATGGGGAAGAATGCTTCCTGACCCTGATAGGTGGCCTTCATCCAAGGGTGGGAAAGGATTCACCGAAGTGGCCAAAAAAGTGCATAAAATGGGGTTGAAATTCGGAATTCATGTTATGAGAGGAATAAGCACACAGGCAGTAGATGCTAACACACCTATCTTAGACACCAGTAAGGTATTGTTTTCAATACGGAGACTCATTTGTTAGTTGTTCCATTGATATTATCTTTTATATCAAGTTCTCTTAAGGACTGAGCAAAATAAGTTATTTTTTGCCTGGTGTAACATGGTTTAGTTAATCTTGGACCATTTAAGGCATAATTACAGTATGAACACTATAAACTATGGATTGCTTTGTTTTTCCTATTTTTATTCTTGGTTCCCCTCTTCAGGGAGCTGCTTATATTGAGAATGGAAGAAAATGGACTGCAATTGATATAGGGATGAAAGAAAAGAAATGTGTGTGGATGTCACATGGGTTTATGAGTGTGAATACAAATTTGGGAGCAGGAAAAGCTTTTTTACGATCTCTTTATGAACAATATGCTGAATGGGGAGTTGATTTTGGTAATTTTATGGCTGCTTAGTGCTTACTAAACTTCTCGTACAAAGTTCATCATGCTCTTCATTTTAATACCTTTGTTCAGATCAGATTATTTTGGTATTGTCTTACAAAATGTGTGACGTGATCATTCCAATTCGTCAGTACTGGAAAATATATCTAATGCTTACTACTGGATCTCGTTTTGATTTCTTTGAATGTCAATATTTTTTTTAACTCAATAAGAGCAATAGATAAACATCTGACATTCTGACATGCTTCTGCAAGTGAGATATAATGTTTTCTCACTTTAAGTTTTTGTCACAAGTCTGGAATGTGTATTTATAAAGTACAAACTTATATCAATCTCGAGGTCACATAATGCATTAGGTTGTTTAGTATTATGTTAATGCCCATTATTTTGCTTACATATTATTCCTGTCTTGATCCCAGTGAAGAATGATTGTGTTTTCGGGGATGATTTGGATATAAAAGAAATTAGCTATGTATCAGAGGTATCGAGATTATAAAACTCTGCTAATTCATAGAACCTACTCTATATCTGTTAGACCTTTTACTAGAATATGTTTGACTCTGTGTAGGTTCTTAGGAAACTTTCACGTCCAATTCTATATTCTATATCCCCTGGTACAAGTGTCACACCTGCTATGGCCAAGGAAATTAGTGGATTAGTAAATATGTACAGAATAACCGGAGATGATTGGGACACATGGGGAGTGTGGCTGCACACTTCAACGTAACAAGGTGAATTGGGTTCTTACTGTCATGTTCATCTATGTGCATATCTTCGGGTGGATCTAGTGTCTTTTCTTCTTTCAATTTGGCTACTTTCCTTTACTAATATTATTACTCCTTTCTATTTCCTCTTGTTCAGAGATTTTGCAGCTGCGAAGATGATAGGATCCAGTGGTCTGTTGGGGTTGTCATGGCCGGACTCAGATATGCTGCCACTGGGGTGACTCACTGATCCAGGTATGTAATCACACTCACAAATACCCTCCTGTACTTTATAAAGGCCTGATTTGACTTGAATGGTAAAACCTTACTAGCTTAAACCATAAAATTTGAATTAAGTTATTAAGTGACTTGAAAATTATTATTTTAGATTTATCATAAGACATTTTTTTTATTGATGTACAATGATATGATATTATGGTCAATTTATAGCTTGACCACAAAAAGACAGAAGTGGCTTGTTTATTGGGATTTTTTTTTTTTGGCTAAGTATTTAATTTAGAAGAAATTTTATAAGAGACTTTTATGGACTTGGTAAGTCTTGCTTCTGAAGAAGTGCAATATGATTGTAAAACCTATCCTGCATGAGATTTTA